TTGCTACTGCTAGCTACTCCTACTCCTACTAGCTGGCTGCTACTCTACTCTCTTCCCTAGCTGTTGGCTGCTACTCTTAACTACTGGCTGCTATACTTCTCTACTCCTCCTCTACTCTACTCCTCTACTATTATTCTATCTACTATTACTCCTCCTCTACTCAGTAGCTGTTGCTTTTTTTACACCTTTTCATCTCTATGTTTGCTAAGTAGCTGTTGTTTTTTTTGCACAATCTCCCCTCTCCTCTCCTTTGTTTTGCCGATGATGAAATTGTCCAAGTCCATACATTATATGGAATATGAGCTGATGATCAAGAACTTATGAGGAACTTGGTATCATTAGCAACCACCCCTATATTACCTTCTCCTCTCTTCTCTGTTATGATGCCTTGATGCTCAAAGTTCAAGATCAGATGATGATTGACATGTTTCTGAGGCCTCTACTACTGCTACTTCTCGTTTTTTGACATATTATTGTTTTATAGGACTACTTTGTTTTATAGACCTTTTTTATTTCTTATACCTTCTCACGTACCTAAAGCACACTTTCTTGCATCTATTAGAACAAAGCGTGAAATAATGTCGCGGACACCAGACAATGCAGCCCGATGCCCCGAGCATGATGAGCAGCCAACCCTTGAGGAGCAAGCACTAGAGGACCAACTTACTCAGAAACAGTTCGATAACGAGGTAGAAAAGGATCTAGAAGTGATGCTTACTCAGGAGCAGTGTGACGAGGAGGAAGGCCCCAAAGGAGAGGCTGCTGAAGGCGAAGAAGAAGAGGATGATGATGATGATGATGACTCAGAAGAGGGATATGAAAGTCCCGAGGATCCTTTCCCATGTGAAGCCAGAAGGAGGCCAACGGAGGAAAATTTGGACAAGAATTTTGACCCGAACAAGGAGGTAGGGAAAAAGCCTTAGCTTGTAAATTTTGCTAAAGCTTTGGCTGTGTTACCTCTGCTAACACTTTGACCTATCGTATATACAGGTCCCTCCTAAAACTCAGAAAAGACGACGTCGATGTTCGCGACATCTCGCTGGACAAGACGGAGTAGAGGAAAGGAGAGCGGAGGCAACAGCCACAGAGACGGATCATGATGCCTCTGCTCCACAAACTCAAGACACAACCACGACTACCAAACCTAAGAGGAAACGAGGGGATAGAAAAGGAAATCTATATCCAGATAAGGCATGCTATGTGATAACGGAGGTCGGACCAGCAGGGGAGATCCTTGAGCCGAAGGAATTAAGAGGACGATTCTGTCATACGATCGGGGCCCTAGTAAGAGATAAATTGAACCCAGCAATCCCTAACTGGAAAGAGGTACCAGAGAACATAAAGAATGCACTATGGGATAGGCAGCTGAAGGTCAATTTTAGATTTTCGGAGGGTAAGCACGAATTGGTAAAAAAAATGCTATCAGGATGATGGGAGAGTCATTCCGACGTTGGAGGTCGGAGCTCAACATGAAGTATATCCAAAAGGGGTTAACTCCCTTCAATGAGTTCAGCAAAATAACTCCTAGTCAATGAGATGAGCTCGTGGCTCAGAAGACTTTACCGGAGGCATTGGAGCTCAGTGCCCGTAATACCGAGCTGGCGAAGAGGAACAAACACCACCATCATCTAGGCCCCGGTGGCTACTAAGCCAAGGAAGAGCAGTTTAGGAAGATGGACGAAGAGGCCGCAGCTGCTGGGAATATCGATGTGACGAATTTGAAGGTACGATCAAGGAACTGGATATATGCGAGAAGTATAGAATCATCCGGCGCTAATCTTAGTTTGATAAGCCAGAGACCCAAGAGGCGGTATCAAGGATACTGAAATATGCTGAAGATAAGGAGAAGGGCTCATTCAATCCTTCTAGAGAGAGGGACGAGCTTAGCCTTGGCTTGGGAAACAAAGAGCACACAGGCCGCACCAGGGGGCTAGGGAAAAGGATGACCTGGAAGCAAGGATTCGAAGAGGATAGGCACATCTACAAGAAACATGGCCGAGACCGGGAGACTAGTCTTGAGCTCCAAGTGAAGGCTCTAGTTGCGAAGGCGCTGGAGGAGTAAGGACTGTCTACGGAGCCACGGATATTAGTGATGCCGCCGGGAGAACTGGCATTAGTTGGCAGCCCTCCAAAAGTTCCTAGCAGCCAAGGTTCCACTGCAGCCACAACCCCAGTCGATCGCATACGGGAACCAACTAGTTGCACCTTGGTGTTTCTCAGCGGCCGGCAGAACACTGTGATGGAGGTGGCAACGGGTGTGGCACATCCTCTTGGTGGCTTACACCACAATAATAAGATACCGCCGGACTACACTAGGGTCGAGGTGCATACAGTGAAGCCCAAGTTCATGCAGTGGAGGATAGACTACGCAACTCCTGAGGGGCTGGTGTTACTCGGAGACGTTATGGGGCAGTTCATCCTTTGGCACAAACAGGACATTATATTGACTACTTCTTCGTCGCCTCCCCCTCTCCCAAATTTGGAGCGAGATGTTGAGGTCAGGGAGATATTTTCACCGTCTCGTGACCTCCACATTCCTGAGATGCCACATTCTTCCCCGCCTCCTAGCGAGCATGTGCCTGATGAGATGCCACAACCTTCTCCAGCTTGTACCGAGCAAGTGCATGATGAGATGCCACAGTCTTCTCCACAAGCACAACCGATACATGAACAACGAGTGCCTCCTGAAGAAGGTGATGCACAAGAAGATGAGGACGTGCCTGAATGGGAACTTCGAAAGAAGATTCCAATCAACATAAGGCTAGTTTATGTTCTGATCAAAGACGTCTCATCGGTGTCCAAGTGGTATTCCCATGACCAGTTCAAGCCTGAGAACCAAGTTAAAAAAAGTCCCATCACGGGGTTCTGAGGAGGCCGTCACTAGCAAACTCCACCAAATTACAAAGCAGTATCCAAATGTTGATGCTATCAAATGATCAAAGGATTGTCCAAAAACATATGAAAGAGTAAGCCCTTCCTACCAAACCGGGACATCCAGCGCCTACCACTTGGAATGAGAAGGTTCCATGATTGGTACTTGCGTGTTCTCCCAACGAGCATAGATATCATACAAGTATGCTTCCCCACCGGCACATTTGAAAGCCCAGCCGGGAAAATTGTCTTTGACTTCAATGACATGCACACATGCTTTCACCTGAGAGAAATAGAGATGAATCTAATTCGCACGTGGTGCCTGTAAGTCCTTGTCCTCCCGATATGATATGAATGTAATCTTTGAATTTTGTTGTAACTAACTCACGCCGTGATTTGTAGAATGCAAGTGCACATTGTCAAACAAATGCCAAGTGTGAAAGCCGGGTATGTAGACCCTCAATCTATAGCCCAAACAAATTTTAATTACCCTAAACAGTGGACACTGGATGCCAAAGAGCTAGCTGCTGCAAAGACTCTTCGGGAGAAAGAGCGCATCCGTACGGCGAAACTAAGGGAAAAGTTCCTTAAGGTTGCGGCATACATTGCCCTGGCTTTCAAAAATCTCCAACAACACTCTACTATATGGCTACCATACAACTTCGAGTAAGTTCAACTCTATACTTAAAGCTTTGTTCGATATATTTTATTCGATGCAAAAGAGCTTTTCTAGTTCTATGATTAAATCCATGCAGCAATCACTAGATTTGTATAGCCGTGGGAGGAGCATGGCATGGGTCTTTGATTCATTAGATAGGGACACGGTGACATACAAAGACTTCATATCAATTCTCAAGACGTATATATATCGACAATCCTCATTAGTTTATATGTTTGTATACATACTTGTAACGTTCACTTTTGGATACTAACAAGTTGTATTTGCTAAAATAATTCGAACAGGGCATTTAGATTCTATGTCACTAATCATCACGGAAGGCATGATCCAGCAAGGAAGGAAAAGCTGGCTATAAAAATACTATGTGCGGTAAGTGTAACTTACTTCTTCGGTGCAACGTTACATGGCTGTCAAAAGCATTACTTAATATTTTTATATGCAAAACACACGGTGCCCCAAGCAAAAGCCTGGGAGTGTACATTGTGGATACTATATATGTTCTATGATGAGTAACACCGGTGCCTACAGGAGACACCCCTTAAGGGTAAGTTTGAACCTCTTTACCCGTAGTATAAAAACTTCGTACATGATATGAAATACTAAACCGAAACTTGTTCTTTTGTAGTGGAGAGAAGAAAAAGGAATGAAAAGAGACCCATACAAGGATGACCAACTCTTAGAGCTCGTCGGCGACCTTTGCAACTTCATATTAGACCAGATTGTACACGTCAGAAGCGCCTACCATGACCGAGAGTCTGAGTTAGGTACAAATCCTCAGTACCAACACCTTCGTGAGACTGAAATGCTAGCTCTAGGACGTTGATAACAATGTGTATGAAATTTGTATATTTAATGATGAATTGTATATATTCTTGTGAATTGGAGTTGTAATTGTAGTTTATAGAATACTCTTGTGCTTGTAGTCGTGGTCACGGGACGTTCGGCAACGCGAACGCGGTTCGAAACGTTGGTCGCGGGGCGTTCACCAACGCGAACGCGGTTCGGAACGTTGGTCGCGTGGCGTTAGGCAACGCGATTTTGAATTGTAAATTTGAATTTTTTTTACAGAAAAATATACTGTAGGGGCGGTTCTAGATCGAACCGTCCCTACAAATACCTATTTATAGGGGCGGCTGATACTACAGCGGCCCCTACAAATTCATTTGTAGGGGCGGCTGGTAATACGAGCCATCCCTATAAATTGATTTGTAGGAGCGGCTGGAAACATTAGTCGCTCCTACAAATTAATTTATAGAGACGGCCTAGAAACCGTCCCTATAAATATATAATTTATAGAGACCTTTGCATAGGGACAGCTGAGTAAACCGCACCTTAAAAATCATATTCTACGTAGTGGGAGATCCTCCGGCGCCGGACGAGGGGACTCGGATCGAAGATCGCGGAGCTGGTGATCTGCCCCATCTACGCGAACCTGCCCATCGAGCTCCAGGCCAAGATCTTCGAGCCAGCGCCGCCGGGCGCTCGGAAGGTGGTGCTTGCAACCAACGTCGCCGAGACGTCGCTGACAATCGACGGGATCAGCTACGTGGTCGACTCGGGATTCTGCAAGGTGAAGCTATACTGCCCACGCACAGGGACGGAGTCGCTGCTCATCCACCCCATCTCCAAGGCGTTGGCCGACCAGCGGGCCCGCCGGTCGGGGCGCACTGGCCCGGGCAAGTGCTTCCGCCTCTTCACGGAGTACAGCTACAACAATGACATGGAGGACGAGACGGTTCCTGAGATCCAGCGGAGCAACCTGGCTAGCGTGGTGCTCTCGCTCAAGGCGCTGGGGATCAACGACCTGGTAAGCTTCGACTTCATGGACCCGCCGGCGTCGGAGGCGCTGCTCAAGGCGCTCGAGGATCTCTTCGCCCTCGGCGCGCTCAACTGTCGTGGCGAGCTGACCAAGACCGGGCGCCGGATGGCGGAGCTCCCGCTCGACCCCATGATGGCCAAGGCGATCGTGGCGTCGGAGTGGTACGGGTGCTCCGAGGAGGTGCTCACCATCGTGGCCATGCTGTCGGCCGGGAACGCCGTCTTCTACCGGCCGAGGGACAAGGCGCTGATCGCTTCAACGCGGGCAACGTCGGCGACCACATCGCGCTGCTCAACGTGTACACCGAGTGGGAGCAGTCCGGGCACTCGGCGCAGTTGTGCCTCGATCACTTCGTGCAGTCACGCAGCATGCGGCGCACGCGGGACTTCCGGGAGCAGCTGGAGGCGCTGCTGGAGCGGGTGGAGATCGAGCGCCGGTCAAGCGCCGGCGACCTCGACGCGGTGAGGAAGGCCATCACGGCGGGTTTTTTCCGCAACACCGTTCAGCTGCGGTAGGACGGGTCGTACCGGACCGTCAAGAGCTGGCGGACGGTGTTCGTGCACCCGAGCTCCGGGATGGCGCGGGTGGAACCTCCCGCACGTTGGGTGTTGTATCACGAGCTGGTGGAGACGACCAAGGAGTACATGAGGCAGGCGAGGGAGCTTAAGCCGGAGTGGTTGCTGGAGATCGCGCCACACTACTATCAGGACAAAAACCTCGAAACGCCTGAGCCAAAGAAGAAGGCCAAAGCGCATTTGCAGAGTGCGACGGCCTAGTAGTCGATGAGAAGCCGATTGTTAGGTCGGTGTGTTTGGGATTGTTCCACCTACAAACTCTATCATAAAAAAAATTATAGTTTCTGTAGCACTTTATGTGTAGTTCTCTGTCTTCTCAGTAGTATGAGTGTATGCACGTTGAGCATGAAAATTCCCTCCCTCCGTTTCTTTGTATGAGAAGTATTAGGATTCTGTTCCTTTTTATTATACGTCAAATAAGCATATTGGGGGAGAAAAGAGCTCTGTTCATCCAAGCAATCGGCAGTAGTTGCTCGGAGTTAAGGTTTTGGGTCGGCTAACCTTATGTTATAGACACGTTACAGTTCGCTGCCCCCAACCCTGTTTGCTACGACCTGTACTGCTTCCCTGTGCTGAGTCATGATATCGATTGGTAGAACACCACGTGCTACCATTTCATGTCTCAAGCGAGCTATAAAATGAAGGGAAAACTAAGCCAAGACAGTCCGTATTAGGATTCGGAAGTCTTTAGAATATCCTTGGTAGGTGTCTCGTAAAAGATGATAAACCAAGTCATGCTTTAATTTTACAACTATTTATCTTTCCAGAATTCCGCAACAGGCGGTGGTTGAATTTAGATCTTATCTGTATCTAATAATAATAATAATAAAGAGACAAAATTTTCGATCATTTTTTCGTCCATCTATTTTTTTTTTGTCCGTCTCCTCTAATTACCGGGCAATGGAGAGTTTCTTCCGTTCAGACTTATATATATAACACGTGCTCATACGAGTTAGAAATGGCTCGCATCTAGACCCATATGGAGTCCGATTATAAGATCAACATCAGCATAGCTACAACTCCTAATCCAAATAGGTCCTTTACTTATTGAGTAACTATCTGTTTTCAAATAGGGATAGATGTAGACCGGGTAAAAAATTGCTTCGGAATTAAAAAAAAACGGATGCAACACAGAAAGGAACTCTCCATCCCGTGGGGGGAAAAATCCTCTCATGCCTGGTCTTCGGCAGGAAATAGGATTTCTACACATATACGTAACTTGCTCACGCATTATTTGTTTTGGTTACAACTAATAACTGAATATAATATTCCTAATCTCTATTTACTTGGCCAGGCTAAAGCGTACAGGATTCCTAATCCCTATTTACTTGGCCATGCTAAAGCGTACAGGATTTTCCTGAGTCAAGTACGAATACAAGTTCCTCTTTCCATGACCGGCCGAATAATTAATCTTCTTTCCTATCTCAAATATTTCCCAAATCTGACTCTAGCACGGACTCTTACCATAATTTCTGGCCGAGCCTGGAAATCCTCTCCACGAGAGCCTGGTATATGTGTTGGTCGTTTGCCCCGCTTGTCACGTCTACAGAGTTCGCATCATGCATCCGCGTACTACGTCTGCGGAACTGGAAACGGAAGCGAAGTCCGAAGTCCGCGCTAAACGGAAGGCTTAGATGCTAGGCACCTCGCTGTTTATTTATAATTCCAAAAAATCATGTACACAGACGTGCACGTGCAGCGTCGACGCCGGCCTCGTCACCGTCGATGGTGCCACGGGTCACCAAGGATACCAGGAGGGTCGCCTTGTTCGACCACGAGGACGAGCGTGTCGCGCTCGCTGCGCCGCTGCCGCTGGTAGGCGGGCCTGGCAGTGGCTACGTCCTCCGCTTGACGGAGGTCCGCGGCAGGCTGGGGCTCGGCGTCTGCGCTGACAGACAGGAGCCGGCGAAGACCGAGGTCTGGGTTCTCGGCCGGCAGTACAGCGTGCAGATGCAGACGGGGGTGTGGCAGCGGCCCGCGGGCTCACACTTCGCGCTCCGCGGCTACGTGCTCACCGCGATCGCGGACGATAACAACCGGAAGCACGTGATCGCGTACAACACAGCATAGGATGCGCGGCACCGACGACGTGGCTGGGAGGTTGCAGAGCGGCGAGGTGATGTCCCTGCGGATCAGGGAGCAGGAACGATGGCGGCCTACTGCAAGGACGGCTACCGCCTTCGGACCTTCGCGCTCACTCCCTCCGTCTAAAAAATACAGTCGTCCTAGCTTTCAAAATCTATCCCACAGCAAGGGTGCGTTCGGCTGGCTGGGTGGGCTGGGGCTGGCTGGGCGGCGCACTCACATAAACACTGTTCATATGAACAGTGTTTTCAGACAGAACATTATTTTCCTTTCACAATAATCAGCCGGAACAGTATTTTGCCTTATTTTCCAGTCCTGCCGAACAGCCTTAAACTTGTATAGGTAGTCCCCACCCCACGCATACCAGACCATACACATTTCTCTTCTCTCTCCCACCTTTCCTTCCGCTCCCTCTCTCTCACCAGTCGCATGGCCATGGTCGAAAGGGAGCTGCATCCACCGTCGCCACCCACCGCATCCGGCCCCGCCGACGTCGAGGCAGGAGCAGAACGGGTCGCCGCGGGCGAGGCTCGTGGCCACGGCCTTCCTCCTCTTCCGCCAGCAGCCCCCCCTATTCTCTTCTCGTCGCGCGCGTGGGTGAGGCAGGCAGGAGGTGGAGCGACACCCAAGGCGAGGCTGCCGGCGAGGTCAAGGACGGGCGAGGATCCCGCGTGGCAGCACGCCGTCGCCGATCCGCATGCCGCGGGGAGCCGTCCCCTTGATCCTCTGCTCCACCGCCGGCGAAGGCCAGGCGGGCCCCTCGGCGGAGGCCTTCTGCTGCTCGCCTGGATGCGGGGGTCGGCCTGGACGCAGCGAGGTGGACGCCGCCAACTTCGGATCTGGACGAGGATGACAAGAAACACAGGAGAGAGAAATCGAGATGGAGATGGAGCGTGTAGGGGTAAACTGGTCTTTTGCCATCAATGTTGGTTTGCGTGTTGAGTCCCAGAACGACCGATTTTTTTGGGACGGAGCGTGGACGTCGAGACCACGGAGCCGCTGCTGAGTGTCTTCAAAAGGAGGCAATAAATTACCAAGCCGTGTTCTTAATTTCTACTTGATTGATGCTTTGACACAATGACAGAGTCACGTCGCGTTCGTCGCATCTCGCTGGCGGGTGGCGGCTGGTCCCGTAAGGTGTGTGTGCATCTCCTGACTCCATCTCCATGTGTGCGAATGGATCAATCAATGGTCCAATTAATCAAATAGTTCAATAATATAAAAAATAAAGTAATGATATATTTGCGAGTGAATATTTCTTTATTTTGGGATGGGAGAAATTCTTGTATCAATGTTGTATTTTATTTTGATACACCTAAGTAGGACATTATCATATTATTGGAACGTCACGGTCATCATAAATAAATTATAGCTTTTAAATTTTATAAAAATAGTTAAACATAAATAGATATATAGTATTTTGTTGTCGTTTTTTACGAATATTGGTCATGTTCGCTTTGCTGAAAAGCCATGGCTGAAAATACTGTTCGCTGATTTGTTTTGAGAGAAAAACATTGTTCGTTCGTTGAAATAGTACGGCTCACGAGACAAGTGAACAGGGCCATTTAGTTTTTCTCCCGTTACAATGCACGGGCCTATTTGCTAGTATGATTAAAAATACAAAACCCTAATTAAGCGAAACATTCGGTTAATTGGTTCGTTTAAATTCTTTGGTTCATAAAAAAATATGTTGCTATGGTTTGTGTGAGAAAAAATACCGTTCTAATTTGAAAATTTATGATCGTTTACGATAAGGCACAGCCAACCAAACAGGCTGCTAGAATGGCGTCATAAGGTAAAACAGTGATACGGGCCTGTTGCACCCTTTTTTATTTGGAGTTAAATTAAAATTACAAGGATTTTCTGGGAAACAAAATCATAGGCACGTAGCACTCGTCCATAAACCGGTGACAGACAGAAATAGCATAAAAATGTTAGATACATATAACATAAAGAAATGTAACCAACATTATTGGGGAAAAAAAAGCAACACCAAAGATTTGGAACCAAAAACATTATTGAAGCAACATTAAAGATTTCAGACCACAAGCGTTTGGCAGTGACCGCTGAATAAGTTTCTTTAGCTTGAGTTGGGTTAAAAGAGTAAAATTATATGTTCAAACGACTAGCTGACGTAAAGATTTGGGTTAAAAGAGTTGAATTATAAGTTTCTTCAGCTTGAATTGGGTTAAAAGAGTTAAAGATTTGGGACCAAAAGGAATTGGGTTAAAAGAGTTAAAGATTTGGGACCAAAAGCAGTTGGCGGTGACTACGTAGATTATGTTACAAACAAGCATGCAGCATACATCTCGTGCATTTTTTGTTGATCCATTGCAAAGCATGGGCAATCACCTAGTTATACTAGATGTAGATAGTTCATTCGTGACAAACTGTAATTATAGTCAATGGATATTTATTACCATACTAAATCAACCTACAATTCGATAAATTTATCTGATTTAGGACCATCTGAAGTGATCAAATCTCCAAAAAAAAAAACGAAAGAGGTAGTGTCAAAATGTTACTGCCAGTTTCCATACTGCTGCGGATTGCGAGAACCACCTTGTTGGGGATAGTTTGACCCTCTGCCTGGGCCAGACACGCCATAAGGGCCAACCTGCTGATAATTTGGTCTGCCAACTCCATAGCCACTGCCATTTCCACCCCTTGGGCCACCTGTTCCACCCATCCCACCACCAGGGTATGGCTGCGGCCCTCGGCCTTGTTGAGGATAAGGGCCACTGCTGTAGCCGCCGCCTTGCCCACCACGATTTGGATATCCTCCACCTTGGTTTCCACCCTGTGGATATCTGTTTGGCCCTCCTGGACCTCGGGGTTTTGTGTAGTGATGGCTTGGCCCAGGTGCCATTGGAGCATGAGGGTTGCCCATAGGTTGCCCTGACCTGATTTGTGAATGTGGTTGGCCCTGGTGTTGAATTGGTGGCAAACGAGCATGTGGCTGAGGATGCTGAACCTTTTGCCGCTTTGCCGCTTCTTCAGCTTGCCGCTGCTGTTGACGTTTTTTCTTAGTCTGGAATTCATGTGATGATTCGTACTTGGGCAAGCTACATTTGCAAACATTGAAATATATACAATTAATTTAAGAAAGAATAGATAAAACACAACTGAATTGACTTAGAACAACTTATTATGACACAAAGCTTTGCGAGTAAAAAAAAGCAATGAACCATACGTGTGAGGCTCAGCTGGCGGGGGATCAGTCCAAAAGTAATCTGCATCAAGTGCATCTTTTGCCGATATCCTCTGAAAAGTGTAAACGCATGCCAATTCAGGTCTCAAGATTTTAGTCAAGTCACATGGCAAATACATATCGATGCTAAGTAACAGTAAGAAGAAGCAATTGTACCTGTGATGGATCCAGTGTTAACATCTTCTCAAGCAGATCCAGAGCATGCGGGTCAAAACTGGGATCACAAACATGTGAGGAAGCAGGGCAAACTACAACATGGTGAATACAAACTATAATACTTACTGCTTAAAAACCTCCTTAACACGTCTTGCAATTACTCGAGGAGGCTTTAAATTATTATACCATGGCAATTTCATGACGCCTGGCCAGCTGAACTCATCAGGTGTACCACAAAGCTCAAATATTTTTGTCAGCTGCTCCGGCTGCATCACAAAAACAGAAGACAACAAGGTTCATATTTATAAGTATGAGCTCAAAATGGAATTAATGGATGCAAGTCTGTTAATCATAACTATAATGAAAAAAATCATGTTTGGGAATACACTAGTAATGGAAAATGATTGCAGAAACTAATTGGGCATGCATACTATTAGGAGAGGGCTGCTGTACTAGACAGAACAATATTGCAATAATGATGTATATGATTATATATCTGATCCTAAGAAAACCAGGATGATCCTGAAGCAGATTTCGGGCAAGAATTTGATAGGCAATGGCCACTTAGGTGCATTGATGTTTCTATTGGCAAACACACAAGCCTTCATTTTGATTACTCAATCTTCAAACATATCCAATGATCCTAAGAAAACCAGGATGATCCTGAAGCAGATTTCGGGCAAGAATTTGATAGACAATGGCCACTTAGATGCATTGATGTTTCTATTGGCAAACACACAAGCCTTCATTTTGATTACTCAATCTTCAAACATATACAAATGTGACTGAAAAAATTGTCATGACTAGGCTACATGCCTACATGAGTAGGCTTCTCATCTAATCAAGTTAACATGACTTTATAACATGAAATCTTCCTTTTCTATTACTACCACACCTGTCACAAAGTTTGTTTCTGATAGCATACATGCTCTAGTTTCTCATACATTCCAAGTTTTTTGTTTATCATCAAAACCCATCCACACACACTTCAGTTAAGACAAAAGAGAATAAGTAGGGGAGTACATGGCATTCATAACATAAAATGTTTGGATGAGAATTGTGACAAAAAATAGTATCTAAAGTTTCCTTCAGTCAAATAAGAGGCAGCATCATCTAGGATGAATTAGAAAAATAATAGATATCAGAAAGTGCTGCCTACCTAATTTAAAAATAGACAACTCCAAACAACGCAGATATCAGAATATTTCTAGGTATGATTACTTTATGGGCTTATGGCAGACACTCAGACCAGCAACAAACTTATTACAGTCGATAGGAATTGCTAGCATAACTAAGTTGGTGGTTCAGAGCTTACAAGAAACCATACCTCATTCTTTCCAGGCAATATAGGCTTTCCATAAAGAAGCTCTGCAAAAATACAACCCACAGACCACATGTCAACTGCTGGCCCATATTGTGTGCTTCCCAACAACAACTCTGGGGGTCTGCAAATCATTAATCCAACAAAATCAGAAGAATATACAACTAAGTAATACAGTATATAGCTTGCATACAACAATGATAGTCTACTAACAGAACATCTACCTGTACCACAAGGTGATAACACGGTTAGTGAGGTTTGCATGGTGATCATTTGAAAATGATCTCGCCAGGCCAA